TGGTTGTGCTGGCACATAACTGTACAATACTACCACCCAACATTCCCTCCAAAGCACCCAGCTGCACAGTTCCGTATTGATTGTGGCATTGACTTGCTGCACGTGGACACTGGAGGTGCATACAGCCAGAAAGAAAATTAGGGGAATAAAAACTGAAAGAACTGCGGATGCTGTAAATCAGGAACAAAAACAGAAGTTGCTGGAAAAGCTCAGCAGGGCTGGCAGTATCTGTGAAGAAAAAATCCGAGTTAACGTTTCAGATCTGGTGACCCTTGCTCAGAACAGTTCTGCTGCCAGACCTGCTGATCTTTTCCAGCAACTTTGCTTTTGTTCCAAGAAAATTAGGGGGATTGCTGCTACCACCCCGATGACCCTTGACTCTCTAGTGAAATATGTCTCTTATTTTCCATCAGAAAATGTTCAATGACTGTGCCTCCACACCCCCTCCGCTCTCCCTTTCAGGAAGAGATTTCCACAGACACACAAAACTTTGGAAGAAAAGAAAATCCTCATTTTGTCTTAAATGGGAGTCTCCTTGTTATTTAAACTGCATTCCCTAGTTCTAGTCCCTCCCACGAAGGGAGATACATCCTGACAAATCCACTCAGGATCTTGTACGTCTGAAATAGATGACCTCTTAACCCCTGCAGTGGGAGCACCTATACACAGCAAGGATCCTGGAGGTCTTCACCACTTCCGTTTGGCCTAATCTCTCAGCAATAAACAGCGAGAGCAGGTCCTGTCTCTAGAGAAGGTGCTGCGGAATCTGATTAGAATGGTGTGCAACCCCAACACCAACAGATGCACACAGGCAATTGGCCATTAAGCCCATTAAGTTTATGCTGGGCTCTTTTCGAGAAAGAACTCAACCCAATCACTTGCCAATTCCCAGATTCCCCATCAGAACTTTCCCTTCCAGGTGTTTGTTTAATCCCCTAAGTTCTGAGTGTATCGATCAAATCTGCTCTTTCTCAGTCTGCATACACCGTGAAGACGAGGAAGAGAGATGGATGTGGAAGAAATGGAAGATGGTTTATACTGCTGTGCAGTTACAGAGTTGTAGAGTTGTACACAGAAACAAACCTTTCAGTCCAATTTGTCCATGCCAACCAGTAACTCAAACTAACCTAGTCCTGTTTGCCAGCATTTGGCCCACATTGCTCTAAACCCTTCAAACAAAACAAAAACAGTTGTGCTCCCCACAAGCTGGTTTTGTAATTTGGAGGTTTGAGTCAAGAAAGCGTGTTGAGGAAATTCCTGGAGTACTCGGGGACACCTCGCAAGGGGGCCCCAAATTCAAGAGGGATGTGGAAAGATTAACCGGGGACATACTGTTACAGTCAGCCAAAGGATCAAGAACCAGAGCATGGTGATCAACAAAAGTAGCAATGACCTCACAAGAAGGAACTTCTTGCTTGGCGTGTGGTTTGCATCTGGCACACACTGCCCAAGCGTCCATGTGGTGGGGCAGAGCGGTTCATTTGGGGCTTTCCAGCATGGGAAGCTGGATTGGCTGAATCATTTTTGCAGAGAGCCAGCAGGTACATGATAGAAGAATGGCCTCCTGCCGAGCAAAGATTCTGTGAGGATATCCTCCAGTCTTTAAATATGTTCATGGGCAAACTGTCTCATCTTCCAACAGCCATCAACAATTTCCTTAAACCCAGTCTTTAGTTTGTCTCGTCGCCCTGTTGTGGGGAGGATATTATTAAGCTGGAGAGGGTTCAGAAGAGGTTTACCAGGATGTTGCCGGGATTGGACATTTTGAGTTATAAAGAGAGGCTGGATAGGCTGAGGCTTTTTTCACTGGCGTGTAGGAGGTTGAGGAGTGACCTTATAGAGGTTTGTAAAATAATGAGGGGCATAGATAAGGTGAATACAAGAGTCTTTTCCCTAGGCTGGGGGATTTCAAGATTAGGGGCCATATTTTTAAGGTGAGAGGAAAAAGATTTAAAAAATATGAGGGGCAACTTTTTTTACAGAGTGTAGTTCATGTGTGAAACAGTTACAATGTTTAAAAGACATTTAGATAAGTACATGAATAAGAAATGTTTGGAGGGATATGGGCCAATCGCAGGCAGATGGGACTACTTTGGTTTGGGATTAGGGCCTCTTTCTGTGCTGTATGTCTCTATGACTGTATGGAAGCTGGTTATAAAAACTGCCACAGAAACTAGAGTCTTTAAAAAAACGGAATGGGACCATTATGTTTACATAGTAATGAGTTACTGCTTCTCAACCTTATGGTTTTTACTAACACTGTCACATCTCTCAGAAACCACTCACTGCAAACACAGATCTGTTGCTCTGCAGAGGTGGAAATAAAAATGATAACCATTTGGTACAACAATCAGAAGTTATATTTATATAGCACCTTAAATGTAACAAAACAATCCGAAGGCCCTTCACAGAGCATTATAAAACATCGAGACACCTTAGCAGACAGATATGAGGAAACTTGGTAAAAGAGGTGGGTTACAAGAGGTATCAAATGAACCTAAGAAGGTGGAGAGATTTAGGGAAGGAATTCCAGAGCTCAGGGCCCTAGGCAGGAGGTTATGGAGATAAGGAGGAATGTAGAGGCTGAAGGAGGTTACTCAGATATGGAGGGGTGTAGGGGCTGAAGGAGGTTTCAAAGACAGGGAGGAGTTTTAGAGGCTGAACGAGGTTACAGACATAGAGAAGGGTGTAGGGCCTACAGGAGGTTATAGAGATAAGTTTGTAGGAATTGGAAAAGGTTTGAGAGATAGGGTGGTTTGGAGGGAGGGCTAATCCCAGTGAAGGTGACCTTGACAATTATTAGACCTATTTGGTTCATTAATGACCTCTTAGGGAAGAAAATCTGTCACCTTTACCCGGCCTGGCATACACATGATTGCAGGCCCACTACGATATGTTGAAGTCTTAATTGCTCTATGAAATGGCCCTCATGAGATGCTTAGTTCAAGGGCAATTAGAGCTGGGCAATATCCTTTGCCAGTGATTCCCATCTCTTTTAAAGTATTAATCTCTTAAAAAACTACCCAAAAGAATGCAAAGCAAGGGAGGTGATCATTTGGTCCATCCTGTCTCGTGGCGTTGGCATGCATCTGCTACCCTGATTCTTCTTGGAGCTAGAGGTCATGGGATTGAAAGGTGCTGTCTAAGGAGCCAGTACATCTTGTAAATGGTACACATTGCTGTGACTGACCAACAGTGTTGGAGGGAGTGAATATTAAAAGTGGTGGATGGACAAGTGGGCTGCTTTGTCCTAGATGATACTGAGATTCTTGAGTGCTGTTGGAGCTATACTTATCCAGGTGAATGTAGAGTATTCCATCACACTGCTGCGTAGATGATGGACAGGCTTCAGGGCATCAGAAGGGGAGTTACTACAGGATTCCCAGCCTCAGACCAGCTCTTGGAGCCACTGTTTTCATACGACTATTATCTTTGGTAATTCAAAAAATAATTCAATTCCACTTCGTCTTAGAATCTTCTGTTTCAGTGGAACCATTCCCAGTCTCATAGGAGTAGATTAATGACTCCACTTTCCCTGCATCTTGGGGGAAATGTCATGTAAAATGCTCTCTGCTGTTTTGACTCTTGCCTGTGAAGATTTGCATTTCTCTTGCATCTTTCACTGCTTCACGACATCCAAAAGTGCTTCTTGAAGCGTGGTCAGAGTTGTGATCACAGCAGCCAATTTGTACAAAGCAAACTCCCACAAGTAGCATAATGAGCCAGATCATCTGATTTTGGTGGTGTTGGTCGAATTAAATATTGGCCTCAGGACACTGGGAGAACCCCTCCACTGCCCATCATCCTGGCCTTCTTTCAACAGCACCGTGGGGTCTTTTATGTTCACTTGATAAGGGAATTTGGGCAGCCTCAGTCTAGTATCTCATCTGAAAGACAGCACCTCCAACAATGCGACACTCCCTCACTACCAGCATTAGCCTCAGCACCCCGTGGTGATCGCTGTCTGATGTGTCCCACGAGAATGTGGGGGCTTTAGGTGTAGCTGGGGAATCATCAAGTTAAACAGTGATGCCCCCCCTCAATCAGAGAGCAGTGGGATGTGAACCCTGCAGTGGTCAGGCCCCATAACCAGAATGCTCTATTAAAATAGGAAACAGGCATTGCTACCTTGCAACTGAATGCTCATAATTATATCTTGTTTACAGTTTAGTAATAGACCATTCAGCCCATCATCCCCTGTGCCAGTGTTTATACTCCTGCTACCACTTCACCCTACCTTCTATTCCTTTCTCCCTGTTTGTATCCAGCTTGCCCCTTAAATGCATCCACACTGTTCCCCTCGGCCTCTCTGTATGGGAACGAGTCCCACATTCTCCCCACTCTCTGGGGGAAGACTTCTGGCCTGAAATCCCCATTGGATTTATTTGGGACAGTCTCACATTCACGGACCAGGTGGACAGATCTCAACTATCATTGGAAACATCCTCACTACGTTGATCCTATCGAAACCCTTTCCTCATTTTTGAAGCTCTCTGCCATCTCACCCTTCGAGAGAAAAGAGCCCGGTTTGTTCAGTATTTCTTGACAGGTATAGCCTCTCAGATGTGGAATCTTCCTTGACATTTTGATGGAGATAATTGGGAAGGGTGGGAGTCAGAGTGTACCAAATTAAAAGTGTTTTGCAAAAAACACAAAGGGTGACTTGAAAAAGAAGGTTTTTCACACAGCCAGTGCCTTGGGTCTGGAATACATTGCCTGAGAGTGTGTTTAAAGCTCTCAGAGGGAGAATTGGGTGGTTATCAGAAGAGAAAATAATCGGAAAGGCTGCAGGGAAAAGGTGGGGAGAACAGGACTGGGCAGGTCGCTCTTGAAGATGGGCCAGCACGGAGACAAGGGGGCTGAATGGCCTCCTGCATCACTGTAACCATTCGCTGATACACAATCTAAATTCGGGGGTCTAGGCAAGGGGTCTTCAGGAAGGCAGTGCATTCTGAAGGGCAGGGAGATCTGTTAAATGTAATGTGGCACTTGTAAAAGGGAGACAAAGGGTTAAAGACCCAGTCAGCAGATGTGGGCCAGACTGGGGAGAGGGAACACCCAGCTGAGAATTGAATCTTTTCCTGTCAGTGTTGTAGACTAGATTGGGACAGGGATAGAGAGAGAGAGAACACACACTCAGAGAACGATGGAGATTTCAAATAAGCTGTTGTCCACACAGTGCTGCTCCTACTTACTGGCTCTGCTCTTCTCCCTGTTCGTGGTGGTGCCCCTGGCAGAGAACGGACGAGAATTCAAAGGGAGATGCCTGCTCTTCAGCCGGGCCTTCTGGAGGGAGGAGAACAGCACCGGCTCGCTCATCAATCGTTTTGTGGTGGAGGAGTGGGGGCCCTCGGCTGCCTGTCAGTTCTGCACCTTTGTGGGATTCTTCACCCTCATCTTCTGCGCTGTGCAGGCCTGGAGGACCCTGTTCTACCTCTGCAAGGGGCATGATGAGTAAGTCTGAGCTCTCTCCCACCTCGGATTAGCCTCTTGCTGTGCTCCCCCCTCATCTTTTCCCCTCCTTCCCTCTCCCACAGTCTCTCTCCTTCCTCCCCCACTCACTGCTACCACCTCTCCTTCCTTCCCCACCTCACTGCTACCACCTCTCCTTCCTCCCCCCCTCTCTTCTGTACCCTCCCTTCTTATCTCTCTCACTTCTGCCTTTACTCACTGGTCCTCTTTCACTCTCTCTATTCATTCCTCTCTTTCCCTCACTACCTCCCACTCTCTGTTTCACCCTCCTTCCTTCCCTCCCTCTCCTTTCTCTCTCTCCCTTCTTTTCCTCTCTGTTGTCTTCCTTCCTTCCTTCTATTTCCCTTCTCTCTCACTTCCTCCATTTCCCCCTCCCTCCTTTTCTCTCTTTCTCTCTACCCATCTGCACTTTTCTCCCACTCTATATTTCTCTCTCCCTCCTTCCTTCTCTCTCTACCCTTTTTTGTTTCTCTCTATTCATTTCTCTTTCTCTATGTCCTCATCCTTCTCTCTCTCCTTCTCCTTCTCACTACCCCTCCTCCCCCCTCTCTTTCTACCTTTTCTCTCTCTGTCCATCTCTCCCTCTAACCCTCCTCCTCTCTCCTCCTCCTCTCTCTCTATCTCTCCTCTTTCCTTCTCCATCTCTTTCCCTCCTCCCTCTCTCTGCCTCTCCTTCCTCCCAGACTCTTTTGGATCTGAGCCCAGTGTGCTGTGACTGCCCCAGCCCCAGGCCCTGACAGTGCTGTGCCAGCCAGGCTGATCTACTGGGTGAGGGCAAAATCCCAGGCAAGTCTGATCTTAGCCACCACGTTTCCTAATCAGACACACTCACTCTTTCCAGGAAGGGTCTTTGGAGAGGGTAAGGAAGGAATGGGACAGTGTGTGACACCATCCAGCCAACCCTGGATAAACCTGCCCAGTGAGAACCTGGACCGGAGAGGGAGTTAGAATCCCAGCCTCTGCGACCTGACCTCCAACTGAGCCACAGCAACATCCAGAGTGATTTTATTTCCATTTGTTTCAGGAGAAGGCCATTCACAACGCCCCCCCGCTTCAGACTTCCTGCACCTTCGTTCATCCAGATTAGTCTGTCTCTAAAACCCCGTGTCACCCTGAACCTAACAAACTTAAACCTATCCAGCTCTATCTTGAAAGCTCCAGTTGCCCTCCCACCCCTGCAACCTTCCCAGTCTCGGCTGCTTATTTTCAAGGGAGAGGGGGCTGAGGTAGAGATTCCAGATTTCTCCTCCTGATGTGAGGAAATGCTTCTGGACCTCACCCCTGAATGTGGGGAGTCCCCACATCAGCCACAGGCAAGATGGAGGCAATCTGTAAATGTGACAGAGCTGTACCAATTATCCTTATTTGTGTCACGCAGTCTCTATAACATAGAATAATCTGGCGCTGCCAACTGTCTGCCCCTCTCCCACAGTTACGTTCAAGCCCAGACGTTCATGGAAAGGGAGCATGCAGTGTCCCATCAATGCTCTCGATGCCGTTAGAGAGAGGTAGGCACTGCAGAGATACAGTGCTTTATTTCCCCAACTCCACTTTCATCTAGTCCCTTCCCGCACTCCCTCCCTCCCTCTAGATGTTTGGGTCATTGAATGTGCTCAAGCCTGCGTTAGACAATTATATGAGGCGTTAGTGAGATCACGCCTGGAGTATTGGTTCCAGTTTTGGTCTCCTTACTGAGGAAGGATATGGTAGCAGTGGAGGCAGTTCAGAGGAAGTTCACCAGGCAGATTCCAGGGGTGAATGGGCTGTCGTACGAGGAGTGGTTGAATAGTATGGGCTTATACTCGTTGGACTTTAGAAGAATGAGGAGGGTAGGGGATATGACTGAGATATTTAAAATGGTAAAGGGGATTGATAAGGTGGATTTTGAAGAGATGTTCCCTCTCGTGGCACAGACTCGAACAAGAGGTCATGGATATAGAGTGAGAGGGGTAGGTTCAAAACTGAGATGAGGAGAAACTCCTTCTGTCAGACGGTTATAAATCTGTGGAACTCACTGCCTCTGAGTGCAGTAGAGGCAGAATCAATCAACAGATTCAAGAAATAGTTAGATATATTTCTGATGAAAAGTGGGATAAAAGGCTATGGGGAGCAGGCAGGAAAGTGAAGTTGAGACCAGGATAAGATCAGCCATGGTCATGTTAAACGTTGGAGCAGGCTCGAAGGACTGAATGGCCTACTCCCGTTCCTAATCTCTATAGTAGAGTTTTGGCAGATGAGAGGCTGGAGGGTTACTGGGGAGGGGGAGGTGCAGGTGGGAATAAGGGAACTGAGATCCCAGTCCATTTGGACGTGTTTGAGTTGACTGGCGGGGAGGGGTTTGAGGCATATTCACATGATGTGCTCCCAGTGGGGTCCTCACAGTTTGGATGCGAGGCTGCAGGCAGACGGTTTGTTCCCACCCACTATGCGTCAGCGCTCAAGGCAGCTGCTTAATGACCACAGGGATCTCCACTGCAGGATCTATTTGATTATCGTGACTAGCTCACAGGCACAGCCAATTAAATCACAGGTCCAATTAGATTGCCTGCCCAAACATTAATTCTCATCCCATCCAGGAAATGGCTTGTTAATGAGCTCATTCCCCCCCAACCTCTCTCTCCCTCCCTTCTTCCCCCGGAGTCCAGTTCTTTATTTTTATGGCTTCTGTCACATCTCCTTTGACCTGACCCAACAACCCAGCATTTGCTCTCAACATAGGCCGATGATGCCCACAGCATCACTATCCACTATCCAGTGACTGAGCTAGTGGTACAGGTTGGAGCATACTGTCCCTCGGGAACAATGGGAAGCCATTGGATTTGGTCCCTGCTCTAAACCCATTCCCCGCTCCCTGGTAACAATCCGAGATTTAATCAGTTTGACCACAACCTCCAGGTCACCTTCCAGCCCAAGATCAGCCTCTGGCCTCATATTCACACCATCTCCAGCCCATATATCCCTCCCTATCTCTGTAACCTCCTCCAGCCCCTACACCCCTCCCTATCTCTGTCACTTCCTCCAGCCCCTTTCACCCCCTCCCTATCTCTGTCACCTCCTCCAGCCCCTACACCCCC